GAGGGTGGCTTGTGCCCTGGTGACCAGCCCGCACCCTGCACAGGTCAGCATGTCCTCCTTGCCCCGGGAGAATTGGGAAGGGAAGCTGGGAAACCCGGAGGCTGCGGCTGTGGTCAGAGCTGTTGAGACAGGCTTGTCTTCTCTGGTGTGCCATGTGGACAGGCTGGAAGAGGCCTCAGATCCCAGCCCAGCAGCCAGACCCAATCCCTGCCCCTCTGGATGACACCGGCAGGGCATCTCCCAGACCAGTCTCTGCAGGCGAGCTGGGTCACAGCTTGCACAGCACCTTCTGCAAAGGAGGGGCTGAGAGTGAGGGGACACATCACCGCCACTCACCTCCTACCGGGCATGTGGCTGACCATTGGCAACCGTTTTGCTTTCCCTCACAGACCCACTGCCCACCTCATCCTCAGCTGAGGCACCAAGACCAGCGTGTGGATGGAGGTCTGGGGTCAGACCAGGAACTAACTGGTCAGTGCACCCAAACTTCTGCACCCCCTTCTGTTTCCTCCACTCCCGGTACATCTGTCTGCTGCTGGGAAAGTGGGTATACATGAGTGAGTGGCCCCTCCTTGTTTCAGCACCTGAGCCCCCTCCGCCCCATCTGCAGCCTGAGCCCTCACATAGCCTGTTAGTGGGAGCTCCCCTCACGGCCACCCTTGCGGCCTGTGTCTTGCTCTTAGGCGCGCTGCCTCCATGTATGCTGCTAAGGCCCATGGAGGAACCATCATGTTAATGCAGGGATGCCAGGGCTTGGTGGGAGGCCGGTGTGCCCACTGTCCGGTCACACCCTGAGCCTGCAGAGGGGACCTCCCTTTCCTTCAGTAAAACCACCTTTCACACTTTCACCGCAGCCTGCAGCGGCTCAGGAGGGCCCTGGGGGCCCCAACTCTGGCTTTCGGAGAAGGGGTTCAGCTGGCAAGGTGTGGGGCTCCCCTAACTCCGGCAGCCCAACCTCCATGCCACCGTCTGGCTCCACTCCTCTAGAGCAGCGGCCGCCAACTGGTGGTCTGTGAGGTCCGAAAGGTTGGTGAGGACCAGGGCCCTTTCCTGAAAAGACTGTGACTGAGTGCAAAGCCCCCTGCTGGCTCCCGTTCCGGGGCCTGGTTACCAGGGAGGCTCACTCCCACCTGTTTCCTCCTCTTCATGGGAAACACACCCTCTGCTTTCCGGGGTCAGAGCCCCCTTCCCACGGGCACGAGGCTTTCCCACCCCGGTCGTCCCCCTCCCGCGAGGATCCGTTCAGTTCCTCCCACCTGTCCACCGGGACCCACAGGAACCGCTGCGCTTCTCAGACCCGGGCCAGAGGCTGGAATCA